TTGCTTGCGACGTGAGAACGCTGCGCGCATCGACGCAGTTCGTAGAAGAGCATGAAGACACCGCCTTGCGAGAGGACGTGATCCTCGTCTACCTTGCGGACCGTCTCGTCGCTGAGACGCCACCAGTCCATCTCGACCTCTTCGTCCTGCGCCGCCGCCTCCGCCTCCTGGGTCCCGGCCTGCTCGATGGCTATGGGTTTGAGCTCCATGCCGCCGTCGGCGTCCATGTGTTTTGTCGGCGCGACCTGCGTGGGCGGGGAGGAGCGCGGAAACTTGCGGTAGCAGATGTAGTGCCCGTTCTCGTGCCTGCCGAAATGCGTGACCACGGCCTGCAGCTCGTACAGGGGACCCGTCATCTTGGACTGGCCCTTGTCGCCGGCGACCATGGAGCTGCGCGGGTTGAGCAGCCACTCCTCCTCGTCCGGGCGCGCAGGCTTGACTTGGGGCAGCCCACGGCCACTGGCGCCACTGGTGCCGGGCTCTTCGTCCGGCGTGACGCGCGCGTAGGTCCCCGCGCTGCCGAGGCACCACGGCCCCAGGTCCAGCGTGGGCGGGAACCGGACGGCGGCGCCGTTCTTCCACATGTGCCCCGTGTTCTCGTCAAAGGCGGAGCGATTCATGTGGATCGCCAGGCTCTGCGGCGGGCGCGCGATGACCGTCTGCTTCGTCTTGGTCGAGGTGACCTTGTGGGATGCCGAGACTTTGCACTTCTCCGTGATGGTCTTGTCTTCGAAATCGTCATTCTCAAACGCCTCCTCGACGGCAGCGAGGCGGGATCGGGGCATCTCGCTGCCCGTTCCGGGGTTGCGCTCGATGAGAATGTTGAGGAGCTTGCGCACTTTGAGAAGGGTGCACTTGCCGCACTCGACACCTTCGATGGATTCAATGTTGGCGTACGCGTCGAGGAGTTCGTAGAGGTCGTGCTCGGCCGAGTTGAGGCCAAGGCTGAGGGTCAGACAGTTGAAGGGGATCATGGCGAGGCCGTCCGAGTGGCCGCACTGCACGCATGCGACCCTCTGTGCGACGAGGCCCTCGAGGGGGTTCCTGGCGAGCTTGACAGCCGAGGTTGCCCTCGACAGGGTGGAAACGCTCTGGTAGCCGCTGTCGTCGCTGTGCTGGCTCACGTTGGTGTCGTCCGGGGCGCTGGCTGCGGTGGGTGCCGCTGCGGCCGTCGCGCTGGTGTCGAGGGACGGCAAGCTGTTTTTACGCATCCCGGCCTTGGCAATCTCCTTGTCAATCTCGTCCAGCAGTTTGGAGAAGTATTCCTGCGCGTCCTGCTGCTGCCAGGTGCTCATGTTCTTCAGGGAACTGGGCGTCCACAGCGTTCTCCCGTTGTTCTCGACGCTGTTGAGGTCTGCGATCAAGCCACGCAGCGTGACGGTGGCGTCATATCTCCTGCGGTCGAGGTCGGCGTCGCGAAGCTGCTCGGAGAGGTACCGCGGTAGGGGCTTCAGCGAGGCGAGCCCCTGGAGGATGCTGTTCTGGTAGCACGAGTTGTCGAGGTTGCCGAGGCCCGGCGGGCTCTCCGAGTCGGCCTTGAAGGCCATCATGGCGCCCGACATGGAGGTGAGGCCACGCTGGCCAGCTTGCGAGACGGTGTTCATGATGCCGCCGCCGGGTCTGTCCATGCCGAGAATCTTCTGCATCATGTCACTCTTGACGGCATGGGTGCGCGCAGGGCCCTGCAGCATGGGGCGTGGGGCCAGCGGCGGGCGCAGCCAGTTCTCGAGGACGTAGAGCAGTCGGTAGGGCAGGACGTGGGCAAGGGCGTCCCACAGGGCGCCACCTCGAAGGGAGGTGGTGAGGAGGACGGTGGTGACGAAGAGGGCGGCGAGGGAGATGAGGAAAGTCGGTTCGTAAATTCTGTCTCTGATGGTATCGAGCGTATAAGGCGATCGGAGGGCATCGGGGTTCTTGTAGAGGTAGCTCGACTGGGATCGTTGGGAATTCATGCTGGGAGGTGTTTGGTGGTGATGCGACACGTGAAAGCCCGTCGCCAATGGGATGCGAAGAGGTGCAAGGGCGTCGTTGTTTTGACGACGTTTAGCTGCAAGGGAAAAAGACATGAAATTCCATGCTGAGACTGGGACAAGCCGGTACCGGTTCCGTACGAACCGGGGTGTTGGACGAAGCTGGAGAGGATGTTGAGAGGCGGAGATGTAGTTGCGAAGGGCCAGCATAGGCACACAGGCTGTGGAGGGCAAGAGTGGAAGCCGGTCATCCTTGGCCGCCGACTGAGCGAGAGCACTGTAGACCTGACCCCCTTCAAACCTGACCCCCTGGCTGGCCCCCCAAGCCCCCCAAGCCCCCCGAGGCCCCCTCTATTTCTTGCGTCTATTCCTTCTATTCCTTGCATCTGGCGGCCTTGGGGGTGCACTTAGAAATGGGAAGCCAGCAGAAAATCGCATAAGTAATGGGGGTTCAAGTCGATTGTTGTATTGGTTAAAAAGAGAAATCAAAATGGATATCTGGTGAACCTTCAATGCTGTATGCCCCCGCCTGATGCATACCCCCATTATATTACATTTTCAATCCCGTACTCCTAAGTAACTATCTTCCACTAGGCCGCCCACAGCCTTAACCTATATAATACCCCCTATTTTCCGTATATAGTACTCTATTTATATCCATTTAATCACTTAGGGGGTGAAGGCTTTAGTTCTCTAGATATACGGTCCTCCGAATATATCCTAAATAAGAAAAAAAAAAAAAAAGAAGAGAAGCTAGCACTAGTAACTATTATTAGGTATCTAATCCTACTAATTAAACTATAACCCTTATAGACCCCTAAGGGAACTAAGTCGATAATAGAGGATAATAGCTATAATTATAATATAAGAATAGCTTAAATGAAAAGAGAAAATATAGATATAGGATTAATTATAGAGAGAAGACCGGTCATAATAATAGGTTATATAGTAGTCTCTAGTAATTAAGATAAGAGCCGATAATAGCTATCTATTAAAGAACCGCTAAATTAAGAAATTAATCGTAGAAGACGTTCTAATAGTAATAAGGGATTAATTATAATAATAAGCTAAGTTATCGAAAAAAAAAGAAAAATAGCTATATTATAGAATTAGATATCGTATTATAGGTATTAAGCTATCGTAATAAAGAATTAATAATAATAAAGAATCGATTATAATAATAGATTAAATCGTCGTAGAAATAATTATATAAATAGAACTAGATAAGGTATTCTAGGAGATAAATTATAGTAACGAAAATTAATTATAATAATAAACTAAGCTATTAGAAAAGTAATTATATTATAGAGACGATTATAGAATTATAGAGAATAAAATAATCGAGATAAGGAATTAATTATAATAATAGATTAAGCCGATATTATTAAATCTATTATAGAGGGTTAATAGGTTATAAGAATAAGATTAAGCTTAAGCCTAAGCCCACCCGCTACCCTCCAAGGATAGAATTATATATAATAGTAATAGTATCGTCAGTCTAAGTACTAACTCTAGATCCTCCTAGTTATTATTACTATCCTATTAACGATATAGGCTAAGCTCTATAAGTAGTTATTCTAATTAAATAATCTATCTTATTATAGGGTTAGCTATAACTCTTTAAGCCTTACCTCGGATTATATAGAATAAAACCCTATTACCCTCGTAGGCTAATAAGGGATCCCCTATATATATAATTAAATAATTACTATAGATACTATTAAGTAAATAATATAGTCTAGATATAGCCCTCTTAAAGTCCTATAGGTTTAGTTATATAAAGATATTAATAGTAATATATAGGGTTAATATTATATATATAGGGATATCTAGTCCTATTAAAGATAAGATAAATATAAATACTTAAGAATATAGTACCTCTATAATATTATCTAGCTATTCTATTATATCGTTAAGTAAGAATTAGTAAAGCTCCTTAACTATTAAGATTTCCTAATAATTATTACGCTAGATCTACGCTAGGATATCTAATATAGCCTATCTAGTTAAGGGAATAAGGTTATTAGGACTAGCTAGGTTAGCTAATTACTTAAACCTTAGAAGTAGACCTATAAAGTCTAAGCTAGTATAATAGGGAATAATTATAATTAAATCGTATAGCTAAGTAAATTAATCTCTTAATAAGAAGTTAAGTATTTATAGTACTCTATCTAAGTATAATTCCTCCTCTAGAGCTTAAGATATACCTCTTACTAGGCTATAATATCGTCCCCTAAAATAGATTATATTACTTAAATCGATTAATTAAATACTTCTAATAATCCTCTATATATCTTTATAAGAGTTACTTATACTAGAAATTAAGTTATTAATCTTATTTACGTATCTATAATATCTATTAGATCTCCTACCTAAAGGGAATCGATTAATAGTTTATATAGGTTATTAGCTATAGGTCTATATATAATAGAGGCTATTAAGGTAGAAGTAGTAAATAAAGTATTAATAATATATTAATAAGGTCGTAATAGTTTAAGGATTTCTATATATAGGGCTAAGAAGATTATTATATATTAAGTACTTATACCTTAAACGTCTAATAGAGTATTAAGCTAGATATTTAAATTAAGATAGCGAAACTAAATACTATCTAGCTATCCTAGATATATAATCTCTAGATATATAATCTCCCTTATTACGATATCCTACCCCCTTAGATAATAAGGGAATCCTAGAGTTTATATTATTAATATTAGTCCTATATCCCGGACCTCGTCTTCGTTAGCGGTAAAGGCTAGAGGAGCCTAGGTATTAGGGATATAAGAGCTAGGTATTAAGGATAATAGAATAGGTATCTAATTATCCTTATTTAGGTTTAATTAACGATATAGCTCTAAGATATATCCTTAATTAAACTATTTAGCTTCTACGTTTAATATTCTATAAGTAAAATAAGATCGATCTTCTATATATCTAATATATATAAACCTATAAAAGTATATAAATAGAGCTATATTATAAAGTTTATATAATTTAAAGAAATATAAATAATAAGCTAGGAATATAGCTAAGGAAATAGTTAGTATTTTATAATTAATAGTAAAGCGGCTATTAGAGGGGTTATAAGCTAGTAATTCTATTTTATATTTTAGGTTTAAAAGAATATAGGTTTAAGTTAATATATTAGAGATAGCTAGGTTAAATAGAATAAAGTCTATCTTTATATTATCTAATCCCTATATTAGGAGGTTAATTATCTTTATTAGGATCTCTAATACTCTTAAGTAAAGGATCCTAAAATCGAAAGACCCTTAAGGCTAGATATCGGTAGCTTAGTTATAAATATATAAGCCTAGATAGTTTCTTAGAGATCGTTCTCTATTATTAATATCTCTATCCTCTATAAATAATTAAAGTAGTAAATAAGAATAAGCTCGGTTTATATTATCGGTTAAGTATTATAATCGCTATCTAAATAAAACGGATCCGCAGATATTAATATTATTAATTAAAACCTTTTTAATAAAGGATAAGCTTCTAGGTATTAATAGTCGGTAATATAATAACCTTATACGAGAATTAAAATTAGCTTTATCTAATTTAAATATAATTCCTTAATAATTATCCCTTAAATTAGGAGCGTTCTAGGGTACTATTGTAACGCCCCAGCCCGGTCGTCACCAGGACACCAGGCAGGACACCCCGCAGGCGATCGGACGCGCCGCACGGACCCACAGGATCACTCACGTGACCGTGACCAGATCACGATTCTCAAAGTGATCCGGTCACTAACCACACCGTGACCCAAGCAACAGGATCACGACAAGAAAGGTGAGCCATCCAACATGGACTCACCAACCCAACACGACAAGGACAGAATGACAGGTATATAAGGACGGGCATTCGGTACTTGTAGATACATTCTTTCTCACGACAGTGATCAATCTAAGTCTTACCTTGTATCCATTGTAACGAGTGCGCAACGCCTTACGACACACATCGTCTCAGAGTCACAACCTAAGCTTCTGCAA